TTGAAAAAAGATATTTACTTACAGCCCACCATAAACCTAATGGAATACTTTGAAACTGATTTTCAGGGTTCACTTCAATTCGTTCTGCATAATAAACCAACGATGCAAACAGGACAATCCCGAGAACAAGAAAAAATACCAATAACATCAATTCTTTAGCACTTGCCCTAGAAGATATGAAAGAAAATAATAAATTAAAAAAGAAAACAATTCATTTGCTCTAATATTTATATATTTGTTAAACCAAATGATAACGATCAGTAAATAATATGCATCAATCTTAAAATGCATATAAACACATCAGTAGCATGTATCAAAATTTCGAAAGAAGCATTGGTAAAATGAAATGTATGATTAATTACCACAACATTAATTAAAACCTGAAAGTGTGCATGAGAATCTTGAGGCCACTAGAATGTTGGGTAAGTTTGAATAGACGCATAATTCTAATAATTGAGAAGAATTCGAGATCTGCTGTTGAACCGTATGTTGTCATTAGTAAATCCAAATAAAATGTCAGCGTAGCTATCAAATCTATTATATTCACCTATGAATATTATAAATTTAAAAAACATAAACGGAATGTTAGCCTACTGTCAAATTTGCAATATTTACGTGCAAATATTATTAATTAAGCTTGAAAGATTTAACTTTTTAGTTCAGAAAGAAAAAAACAAACTGAAATAATATGTTAGTAACTTTGCTTCAGAAGTATTACAAGAATTAGTTTTTGAAAGAATTGAAGTTTTGATTTTTTCCCGTTTTGAGACCAGTGTATATCGGAAATGAACAAAATATTTATTCACTCATTTTTTGTAAATTATTAGCTTACCGGTGTTTTAAAGTATTTAATTTTGCTGGGACAAGTTATAAATCGAATAAGTATTTCTATTGTAAACCATACATTACAAATCGCTTCAACCATCTGGAATGAAGAATTAAGTTGAACAAAGAAATTTTTTTTTAAATTTTATTACAACTTAAAGAAAAAAGTGAAACTCAATAAAATTATATTTGCATGCGAAATCATTGCATAAATTATCTAAATTAACTTAAGCATATATAATGCAAAAAGAAAAAATGAGCTTACTAAAAAACCTGGATGTGGTTTGGAATTTTGTTTATCAATACCAATTGTTTCGGTGCGATATTTAGTCGGGAAACCGATAGAACGATAATAACGACCAGACGTAATATTGATTTGCATATCAACCAACTCGGCAACCCGTAAACCGGGATGTGTTTTAAGACAAAATACGAGGATAGCTATGATTAGAAAGAAAACTGATACAACAGCAATTATCTGGAAATCATATAGTTTCAAATTTCTCTTAACACAATAATTATATTATAAAAATATACGAAATTGTAAACTTAAAACTAAAATAGTAATACAGCAAAAGAATGTAAAGGGTTTAACATCCGTTTATCAAATGACCCGTTTAAGTCTTAATGTTTATTATTCGAAATTTTCTTATTCATTTTTCGATTAATGATTGAATTTTTGCAATTTTTACTTCAAAATAATGTTTATCAGATTCAGCAATATTGGAATCTTTGCAACTAATTTAATTTCTGTACCAAAAAAGAGAGCCTTGAAAAGTTGAAATTGCTGCGAAATGTAGAATTAAATGAACGAAAAAGCTAACGAACTTTTGCCCCATGGGACGAATAAGGCTCATCGAATAAATGCCATATTTTTGGCTTTAATTTTTGCCATTTTGATAGCGAATGATTATGATAATCATCTTCCCAACCAAATCTAAAACGTGGAATTTTATACACAATTCAGTTAATACTATTAATTAAGATAAATCTAAAAATGAAATGAAAAGAAATACTTTAATATCAATTTTAATTTTCAAAATTCCACATAAAAAGGTAAGTAAGTAAATAAATAAATAAAT